AACAGCGGCCTTCAGCTGCTCCGTGGGTGACAGACTCGCCTGGCGGCATCCTGCCGCCCCTCCTGGCACGTGCACTTCCTGCCTTTGGATCCAAGTGTGCGTGCCAGCAATGCCGTCCGCATTGCAATCTCGCGTTGCGTGTGGCCATGGTGGCCTCTGGCCCCACTGCAGTTGCGTTCACCTTGCCAGGCTCTGCCTGGCGCGCAGCTCTGAGACCGACGACCTGGTGTTTTTCGCCCCGTCCTTCCCAGATCTGCGCCGCTACTCCTTGGGTTTCCCAAGATACTACGGCCTTCAGCCGTGCCCTCTACCTTTCCTGGGTGCGACGCTGGGCTCGGAGGTTCAGGCAGTCCTTCGTCGTCGACTTTCTCGCGCGGGGTCTGGTTGCTGGATCGCTCGCGGCGATGCCAGGATCACGGGGGGCGAGGGCCCCACTCCAGAGCAGGCGAATCCCCCGACGGACCCAGGCTTGCACGGGTCGCGAACGGACGATCGACAGAGAGATGCCCCTGACGACCGACCCAGAGGCCTCAACGACGATGTCGGGGGGACTAGGGTTGGGGCCTCCCCAGAGGGTGACCGCGGGTGTGCCAGGAGGGGAGACGGGCAGACGCCTGCCCTGGGACCCGACTCGCATCACAGAGGCCTGCGCCTTCACTCCGCCGCGCGCCCCCCCCCCCCCCGGGCACTTCTATGCCGAGAGAAGCAGCCTTCAGCTGCGAATGGGCCAACCCTGCCACCACGGAGAACCACGCCCTCGCCCCGCAGCCGACTCCCCCCGCGGGCGTTGACAGAGGGCTTGATGGCTATCGCTCCCCTCCCGCCCCCCCCCCCCGCGGATGCAGCAGAATGGGCGCAGAAGATGGACCCTCAGCCCTTGGAGCGACCTGTGAGATAGCAGAGTTGAGGGAGTCTGCTGCTAGGGGCTCCTCAAGTGGACTGGCGGGCGCCGACTGCGACGCGGCGGTCAGTCGCCCCTCTGGTCACCCCCTTAATCCCGAGGGCTCTCGTCCGCCTCCCGCCCCACAGGCCGGCAGTCTCAGGCGGGACGAACCTCTTGCTCGGGACTCACACGGAACGAGCCTCCAGCTCGAGGCCCCAAGACACGTCGAGCAACCACAGAGGTGAAGAGCCTTCAGCTCGAGAATCGGAGACGGCACCAATGGTCGTCGGGAGCGCCGCTGGGCACTTGGCCACGAGCGGCGACGGGGGTCGCCGCGCGCCCGCCGCCCTTCCTGGAGTTGACAGCACTGCGCACGTAGAGAATGGGCCTTCAGCCCGAGGAGCTCCCAGCGAGACAGCAGCCTTGAGCGATCCTGCAGCTTGGGACGCCCCAAGCGGACTGTTCGGCGCCGACGGCGATGCAACGACCAGTCAACTCCGTGGGCACTCCTGTAACCCCGAAGACTTTCGTCAGCCACCCGCCCCCCAGTTGGACAGTCGCGGATGTGGCGAGCCCTCAGCTCGAGACTCTCGCACGGAACGAGCCTTCAGCTCGAGGGCCCAAGGCGTACCGGGTAACCACAGAAGTGACGAGCCTTCAGCTCGAGATCCAGAGGCAGCGCCAATGGACTTAGAGAGAGGCGCAGAGGCCGTGACCACGAACGGAGACGACTTCGACCCTCCTGGGACTCCTGGTGTTCCCGTGATGGGTCCTCCCCATCAGGTGGGCCCTCACGCCAGCTGCGGGCGACCGACCGACCACGCCGACCTCGACGTTGACGGGGCCAGCCCTGCAACGGGACCACCCCTGGGAAGGCGCGCCGAAGACCGCGCGGCAGGCGCAGCCAGCATTACGAACAGATCAAACGGCTTCCGCCCTGACTCCGCCGCCCCCCTCCCTGGAGGCACGGGCGCTGACGCCAGCGCCGCGCCCGGCCTCCGCGCCGCTTACCTCGCAGAAGAGACTGGCTTTCAGCCAGGAGGAAGGGAGCAAGAGTCGGGGGGGCCTGGCAGCAGTGGCCACAGTGAGGCACGCCTTTCCGCTGAGAATTTCTTTCCTGGGAGTAACGTGACACGGTTGGATGGGCGGCCCATCGCCGCGGTTTGCCACGCCAAGGGCGGAAGGCACACATGGTTGGCTGCCTCGCTGACTGGACCGACGGTCTCACCCGATCAGCTCCGCTCACCGTTGACACGCGTCTACCTGGTGCTGCCCGGTTTCGGAGTATGAAGGTTCGGCCCTTCTCGTTGCTCTCCCGCATATTCAGGTGTGCGGCACTCCCTGGGACTCTGTAACTGTGATGGATTTGCCGTCTTGGGTATACGACGGTTGCTGTCCTCCCGAGCGCACGCGCATGGTTGAGTTAGCCGCCTGGCGCTACGTCACATAGTTGTTCGGTACACGTCACTCTTGAGCCCTACGTTCTCGCTGTGTTTATGTGTACCCCCTTGCGTCCTGACCAGTTTGCTGGTTCTCTGTACGCAGGCGCATCGCTCCACCGTGGTTGGGTCCTCTCTGGCTACTCTGGCCTTGACCCTTTTGCGTGGATGCGTTTGCTGATGTTGCGACGGTTCGCTGGCGCCGTCAGAACCTCTCCTGCTGGACGGCGTCACCAGTACTGCCTGATCATACCCGTCAGGTTCCCTGGGTGACCTTCCTGCACGGTGATAGTCCTTACCACGCGGTTTTTCTTACTCGGACGCGACGGGGCGTACTGCGCGCCATTTTGGCTGCGCTTGGCTCGCCTCAGGGTTGACCTCACAGACTCCCTGGGCTGCAGCTTGCACGTTTGTCTCAGGCGACTGGCCTTTCAGACTCCCTGGGATTGCACGACGCTGGCCCCTCAGACACTCTGGGTTGCCGCTCCCTGCCGCCTGAGCCGCGGCTCCGCGCGCGCTCGGGAATTTAGCCACGGCCGCGGCCCGACCGTGACTGCTCGCCGCTGTGCGCTTCCGCCTGCGGCCGTTTCGACGCCCATTGGGCGGTTTTTTGGAGGCCTCTTGGGACGTCTTGGGGGTCTCTTGGCCGTCCTGAGGGACTCTTGGGCGTCCTGGGTGCCTCGGGGAGGCCTCTTGGGGCCGCTTGGGGTCATCTTGGGGGCCTCTTGGAGGCCTCTTGGGGCCATCATGGAGCCATCTTAGGGCCTCTTGGGGCCTCCTGTGCGCCTCTTGGGGCAATCTTGGAGGACATCGATCGAAGAAGGGGGGTCCCTAATTACGGTCCCCCCTCGGGAACTCCTAAATTCGCCTCCTGGAACCCTCTTGGGGCGCTCTTGGAGCGCTCTTGGGGCCGTCCTGGGTCTCTCTGGGGCCCCTCTTGGGGCCCTCTGGGGCCCTCTTGGAGCCATCTTGAGGCTTCGGATGGCCGTCGGAAGCGAAAAGGCGAGAAGGTAAACATCATTATTTTTCTTGAGGTTGTTGATGGATTTTGGCCCCTTGGGGGCCTTCTTGGGAAACTCTTTGGCCTCTTGGAGCAGTCTTGGGGCGGTCTTGGGGCCTTTTGGAGCATCTTCGGAGGCATCTTGAGGCATCGTAGGCTATCTTGAGCCAGCTATGTGCTCATCTTAGGCTCTCCGAGGCGCTCTTGGAGCCGTCGTGGGCCCTCTTGGACGCTCCAACACGTCGCGAACCCCCCCGCCCAGGTCCAGGGGAGGGGGTAGGGGAGGGGTAAACCCCTCCCCGAAGCGGAAGAAGGAGGTTGGAAGAGGAAACTCCCTAAACCACCTACGCCCAGAGGGCTGGTGGGATTCAGCATTCGCGCTGGTAGATCCTCGGTCGTGCTGGCAGCATCACTCCCGATCCAGCTTACTCCGGTTCATTCCGGCCACGGTTTATTTCGGCCTGACCCCGCTTCATCGCACGTTAGTCGGGCCCAGCAGCGCTTAGTTGTTCTTACGAAGACATCCCGGGAGTTGCTTCTTGACCCGATCATCCTGTCCTCCCACGCTGCCCCGCTCACGATTTCCACCGCTCTTCCTCTCTCCGCACCCACCCACCGGTCGTTGACATTAGGAGTTTTTGGACCTTCAGATCCCAGTCTCAAGGGTAGAGTTGCTTTCCCCTCGTCTTCCATCCGGGGGCAGGCGGAGATGCCTCATAATACTTCCGACGTGTTCCGACTTCATGGTTCTACCGCTTCTTCCGACCGATATGGGTGTTCCCTCGTTCTCTCTTTCTCCATGCTCACAGTCCCGCCATTTTGACCGCCCCTTCGCGCGCTGCCTGCGAGGCGGCTCGTGCTCGCCCTCCTCCTCCTCCTCCTCCTCCTCCTCGTTCCCCCCCCACCCAAAGTCCCACCACTTTGACCCCCGAGGCCCCCGGAGGCCTCCGAGGTCCTCGCCAGAGCGCGGAAGTTCACGGAAGGGACGGGGCGTCCCCGGAGGCATCTAGAGGCCTCCAGTCGGTGTCAGCCCAACATATTTATACTATATGTGCGTCGCCCCCCTCCAAGGGGCGACGCGCGCACCGAGAAATCTTATAGTACATGCGTCTTGGCGGGCGTTTTCCAGCCACACCGCTCGGTAAAGGATATACTACAAGATGGGTACCCTATGAGTTCGGGTCGGACGCGCGTCTCCAAGGAGGACGTCGTCATAGTATGTCCCTGTGCGTCCCATCGAGAGGCCCAGTACCGTCTGCGCCAGCTTCTGTCCACCTCCACCCTCCTTCGTTCGGCGGCGCGCCGAGGGGGGGAAGCGAGGGGCAGGCCCTTCTCAGAAAGCGGTGGGGCTTACAGTCGGGGCGTTGACCTAAGGAACGATAAATAAGGAACGAGGCCTTTTTTTCCCATACGTTAAACTCCGATGTTCCATGGAAAGCCTCAGGAGCACCCAAGGAGCATTGTAAAACAACTAAGGAACACGGAGCCCCTACCAAACGAACAGGGTTCCTTCTTCAGCGGCCCGACTGTAGCCGAGGCCCTCTGGCCTTCTACGAAGCGGCCTTTGGCCTCGGAGAAGATTACGGAAGCTTCTCAGGAGGCCAGTTGCCCTCCGAGCCTCCCGAGGAAGCCCGCCCCCTCTGCGCTCCCCTCCTGGCGCGCCGCCGATTCGTCCCAGGTTCTTCCGGAACGACTACCCGCACGACCTCAAGCCGCCCGTCAACTCCGACTTCAACTTCAACCACCCCTACCCGCTCGTGCAGGACACGGACCAGTACGACAAGGACTGGCCAGCGCCAGGCAGAGCGATGCACATGCCAGCACGAAGAGGGGGGTCCTGAAGGAGGGGTGCCTGGAGTTCCTCCGCTCTCTGCTTGCTCCGGGGTCCAATAACGACTCGGGATGAGAAGCGGCCCCGGGGGAGGCCCCAGGCGGGAGCATGCTCTGGTGACGTTTGGGACGCTCGGCCTCTCGGGCTGCCTCCCTCCTGCCTGGCCCTCTCCCCTCTCCGAGCGAGCGCTGCGGAAGCACACCAGCACTCAGCGAGCCGCCTTCCGAGAAGGCCCTGGCTGCCGCGGCATGGCCACCGCGGGCGCGGGAGCGCGCTGCCCCCCTGCACGACGAGGGGCGGGTGGCCTGCCATCGGGAGCCCTCGAGCGCGGAGGAGACCGGCGGGGGCGACCGACGCCTTTGGCGACTGTCGCATTGCCTTGCCACCAGTCCGATTCGTGCCCTTCTCGGCGTCTTGACACAGCCGCGGCCAGCCGCGGGCCGGCCCCGGCTCGCTCGGGAAGGCGGGGCGCTCCGCGAGCACCCGTGGAGGAAGCTCCGCGCCAGGCCTGCGCCACGAGAGGGCCTGCGCTCCCCTGTGGCAGCCAGCGGCGCCCTGGCTGCTGGAGCGGCCTCGGGGGGCGCCCTTCCCGGCGGTGGCAAGAGCAGCAGCGACGGCGGCGGCGAATGCTGACGGCGGCAACGGCGGCTGGCGCGAGCGAGCGCAGGAGGAGGAGTCCCACGCCTCCCTCCTGGCCCTGCTGCCGCTTCGCTTCCACCCTCCTTCCGCTCCGCCCCATCCCTCTCGCTCCTTCCATCTCTTCCTCCATCCGCTTCTCTGCTCCTACACCATCCCTCCCATGGCGCAGCTCCGCCACCTGTTCCCGCGTTTGCTTTAACCTCCTTAGCTGTTTGTTTTGGGGCCCTTGGGGCCCCCAGATGGATCTGCTTGACTTTGTTCGACTCTGGTTCGAACCTGGTTCGACTCAAGGTCGACTCTGGTTCGACTCGAGTTCGGCTCAAGGTCTACTCAGATCGACGGGTGTTCGTCGCAGCATTGATGCATGGGTGAGTAGAGTGGCTCCAGGAAGGTCTCCAGAACAGCATGTGACCCTTCTGGTGCTCCTGGTCGTGCCCCTGCTCCTCCTGCTCTTGCCCATCCCGCGTTCTCCCTCCTCCTCCCTGGATCCCTGCTCCTGAGCCCTCGCCCCTCCTGCCCCTCCTCCTCTGGCGAACACCAGCGATTTCGGGGGAGGGGGGGGCCGGCATAGTCGTGATGTGCGCCGTCGCCATTTTGGAATTGGGTGCCCTCAGCCGTTCCCAGACGGCGCCGAAGCGCAGCGTGCCGTCGCCTGGGAGGGGGGCTTTCCTCTTGGCCAACCAGCGGCGCACCCTCCTCCTTTCAGGATCGGCGCTTTCGCCCCAGCGCGGCTTCTCTGGATCCGCGCCTCCCTCGTTTCCCCTCCTCCCCGCGGCGGGGGCGGGTACATTGACATTGCCATGTGCGCTTCAAGGTTTGGTGTCGGCATGCGGGCTCGTCTTTTGGGGTCCCGCCTTTTTCCCGGGGCCGTGGCGCTCAGCAGCGCCCGTAACGCTTCCAGGCGCGGGGATCGTGCATTTGGTGGAGTGGCGGGGCCATGTGGTCCACAAGTCCCATGGAGCATTTGTGCTTAATCGCCTTGGGGGACCAACCCAGTTGCACGTGCCATATGTCTTGACAGGGGTTGATAGCTGGGAATGACCTCGCAATGAGGAGGCTAACCGACCGTCCCCCTACGCACCACCGCCATCACGTATGAGTGCGGTGGGGGCGTTGGTTAAGGAATGCGCCCAGGAGGCTGCAGACACTTGGTGGATTCCTTGTCTGAAAAGGCGGCGGTGATATCCGTAGCCAAACTTCGATTGGAGTTCCACTGGCTTACAGACCCTGGATTATTCATGTAAGGGTTCCTTTTCCACTGCCCCCACCGTGGCGAGTCGCGGGGCGACAACCCGGCACGAAACCGAAACAAGTACAGGGAATGGGCGTCCGAGCGATGGCCAGCCGCTGCAAGAGCTCCTCGCCGATGAGCGGGCGGGGCCCCCCCTACGCACCACCGCCGCGGGGCGACGAGGCGCTGACCCGTATTTCGGCCGTGCTGCATGAGCTCCTCGCCGATGAGCGAGCGGGGCCGTCCCTGTGCGCGGGGAGGGCGGTCTCCCCGTGCGGGGGCGGAGGGCGGCCCGACGTGCGATGGGGCTGTGCTTTTCGTGAGGCGGACCTCTCGCGCGGGTTCGCCCCTCCTGTTCTCCATGGTGGCTCCATGGCTCCTTTCCCTTCGCAGGTGGGTGGACCTCCTACCCTGACACGTCGATTGGGGATTGGCCGTTTTCGGTTCGCGAGGGGGCGTCGCTGCCGTCATTTCTGCGGGTCCAGGTCCGTCGGTGTCGGTCCCAGGCCGTTTTCACGAAGGGGAGGTTTACTAAAGGGAGGTCTGTCCACCGCCGATCCCTTCCTTCGCCTTCCTCATGTCATGTCCGTTTGCTCCTCCCGCTCCTCCTGCTCCTGTTGCTGCTGCTGCTGCACTTACTCGTTCCCCATCCTCTTCCCTTTCCTCCTGCTCATCCCCTTGATCATAGGCCACTTCTTGCTCCTACAATGTCAGATGCAGCGCACCTGTTCCGAACCCGTGCCTCTACAAGCGCTCTATTTAAATACTGATCGCCGATCTCCCCCGGTATTGTCTTGAAAATGTCCCGCCTTCTCCGCGTTCTTTGTTCCACTGGATTTTTGTTCAGTTTCTAAACTCCGATTGTTTCCGGTGTTCCAGCATGGTGTTCGTGCCTCATTTTCGGATAGATGCGTGGCTTCCGTCGTTCAGAACGGCGATCTCGCCCCAGCGCGCGCCACTTTTCTGGATTCCTTTTCCATCGTTGTTGCCCTCCTGTTTCCCTTCCTCCTTCCCCTGCTCCTTCCAGTCCAGCTGCTGCTGTGTGCGTTCGCGTCCTCTTCCGTCCTCATCCTCCTCATCCTCCTGCCCATCCGATTGCTCATCCGTCACCTCTTCCAATGTACGCAGCCCCCCCGCTAGATTGTACAGAACACGACGAGGTCCACATTGGAATCTTGCGTTCGCTGTGACGCGCCGGTGGAAAGAATCACAGCGCAATGGGAAGGGATTGGTGGGATGGGCAGGATGCCGAATATGGCGCCAGCGCGCTTCGCGTGTCTCTCTTCCGTCTTCCTTCTTTCCTTTCCCTTTCCCTCCTCCTCCCCCTCCTCCTCCTCTCCCTCGTCCCCCGCCCCCCCTCCCCCTCCTTTCCCTCCTCTTCCCTCTCTCCCCTTTCTCGCTCTCTCTTTCTCAATTTTCCTTCGCGCGGAGGATTACATCAAGGATGAAAACGCCGACAACGGGGAGTGGCAGGCCCCGACCAGGGATGGGGCCGGGACGAGGAGGACGGCGCTTTGGGCGGCCCTCGGCGGCTTTCGGCGGCCTTCAACCATCGGCCCTCGCTAGCCCTCGGCGGCCTTCCGCGGCTTTGGCCCTCTCTGGGCGCCTTTGCGACGGCCAGGCACAGCTCGAGAGTCCTTGCGAGGATGGGCCACCTCTGGGGACCGACTTTGAGCGGATTCAGGGGTGATGGCAGGGGCCTCCCTGGGGGGGCTCTCCTGGTGCCTCCAGGCTGCCTTTTAAGCGGCCCCTGTGGAGCTCTCATGAGGGGGACCTCCTGGGGGCTGCTGGCCGCCCCCAGGGAACGAGAAGGTGCCCAGACCGCTGATCCCTGGACCTCTCCCGTGGTGCGTCCAGGCCCGCAGTTTGAGGTTTTATCCAGCCGTGGCGACCAGAACGCTCGAGAATGAGCAACCGTATCGGTGTTTTTTCTTCCTCCTGCTAGTCAGGTGTCTTTCTGCTTGTCAGGGGTTTTCCTGCTTGCTTCTGGACAGCGGCCAGCAGCGTGCACGCACAGGGTCACGGGGTCCTCCAGGAGGATCCTGGCCCGGCGGCCTCCAGGGACCTCCAGGGGCTTGCGAGCTCTGCCAGCGTGGGCTTTCAGGGAGCCTCCAAGGGGGCGGCTGCAGGAGAAGCCCACGGGTCCCTCTCACGGGGCCAAGGGGGTGGCGCAGAGGGCGCGGAGCTCGATGGATTACGCTCGCTATGGACGACGGTGCAGTCCAGACCCTGAAATGAGGGCCGCCTTGGGCTCGCCTTGGGCCGTGCCTTTCCCGCCGCTCCTGGCCAGGGAGGCCCCTTCCTTCTTCAGTAGGTGTTGCTATGGTAGCACGATGCCTGTATCCATATCGAGGTAGAGGAATCAACTTCGGCCTGGCAAAGACACTGAAGGATATGTCAAGCAGTCAGGTTGGCGGACGAGCTCTCGAGAGCAGCTTCGGCATGCTTCAGCAACACCGTTTACACGCCCTGGTGCCGCCCCAAGGCGTGGGTTGGGGAGTAGACGCGTGGGGCCTCGCGAAGGCAGACGTGCTTCGCGCAATCTCGGCGCAACGGGACCCGACACCAGCACCAAGATCCTTTCTGGAGATCCTTTGTGTGTTATCTGCATTGTCGCTTCCTGCGTCCGTTTCCACACACACACACACACACATTTGGTGAGGCATTCGCGTTTCGACGGTGGTTCTTGAATATTGCGGTCCGCTCCCATCTTCGCTCTCAAAAACAAGTCCCGGTCCCCGATTGCATACAGTCCGCGTGTTCGCGCTCGTGTGCCCGATGCCAACGAAGTTGTTGAGGAGAGCTGCAGGGCGCAGTGGGCTCTCTCCCTCTGCCCTTCCAGCGAGCCCCATGAGGCCATTGACTCGGCATCGCTCGGACGTGTGCATTTTTTCTCGGCGAGAACCATCGAGGACCATCCTGGACCATCGAGCAAAAAAAAACACGCACGAAACAGAAGCATGCACGGGAAATGGACGTCCGAGCGATGGCAAGTAGGTTGCCTTGGGCCTGCCTCGGCCTCTGCACGGGTCGCTAGCTGCTGGGTTCATGCGGGTGTGCCTTGTCTCGTGGCGGGTCGTTGCTCTCCCAACTGTTCTCCCCTGCGACTCGATGAACCAGGACGGGCTCGATCTGGCTCGAAGCGCAATTCCAAGGGCAACGGAACAACTGTACGTTCTTGGTGCTGGTTTCGGTTTTCTGTCTGCCCACTTTGCTTGTCGCGTCGAGATCTCAAGGAGGTGGGGGCACATTGGTGCCGCTCGGGCGTCCTTCATCCATGAACGTCGTACAGAGGCGTGTTCCCTTCCAGATGGTCGATGATGATGTGCAGCCTGCTTTTCGGCCATGGCTGTGAACTTGCTCCTGCGATCGAGGTGCTCACGGGCATGGCAGGTCGGTTATTTGGAGGCTTGGCACATTTTGCGGCATCTCGGAGCTGCTTACAGCGCTTGTCTTCAACGTGCGCTGCCTCGGGGCACTCAAGCACCCTTTGGCAAAACTTGCTGTGCCGCGACAAAATGTGGCGGTGGGGAATTCAGGCGTCAGAGTGAAGTGGTGATGATTGCCCTAGCCTTGCATTAGTATGCAACTCCTCAGGCACAGATGGAGTACGACATCTTGAGGAACAAGGCGCGGCCCTTGTCGCCGTCTGGGCGCAGAGGAGATGCATCTTTCATGCTTGGCCTGATGGTGGATACCTGCACGTGCCTGGGGATGCCCGTACCGTGTGATCTCGCCAGTCGGGCGAGGAGCGGGGCACAGTCGGAGCGAAGCCCGAGACGACCTGGATGATGCAAGGTGAGACTCAGGCGGGAGCCTCCCGGGCGGGCCCAGGACCTCCACTTGGCATCGCTCGGACGTGTGCATGCTCTTTCTCGGCGAGGGCCTCCGAGGAGCATCCCCGACCATCTGGCGAAACAGCCACGCACGAGACCGAAAACAGCACGGGGAAGGGACGTCCGAGCGATGGCCGCTCCGACGCATGCAGAGAGTCGAGAGTTTTTGGGTTTTGCACCGTGCTCCGGCCCCATGGGGACCCTCGCGGGGCCCCCTGGAGCCGTCGGAGCAGGACTCGGGGTGCAGAGCTGGTCCCTTTGGGAAGGGGGTCGAGATTTTTGGGGACCCTGGTCGGGGGGCCACCTGCGAACCCTACCCCTACCCTCCCCCTCAGAAATCGCGGGGGGTAGGGGTAGGGTTCGCATGTGGCCCCCTACCTGAGCTGAGCAAGTCAAGGCGTCGGATTGTTGAGGAGGGGGCGTGGGGCGGGCCCAAGACTGGGATAAGTCGCTCAGGAGCGTTCCAGAGCACTCTCGGATCGTTCTGGAGTGCTCTGGAACGGCCGCGGCGCCCGATACCAGATCCGCCGGATCTCAGAGATCCTTGATTTGTCTCGGTCCGATTATGTCCTGGTCCTGGATTCACTGTCGTCATACAGGTCGGGCCATCGCTCCGGGGCCAAGGTGGGGACAGCCAGAAACAGTGCGGTGCGGTGCGCAATGGCACGAACACTCCCCCTATCTCGGGGGTTCGTGTTGGGTGCTCCGGGCACTGCCGACGATCCGTAACACCCCCCACTGCGGCAGTGGGGTGCGGATCTGTGGAAGGGGGTGGGTGGGTTGGGTTTGTGGAGCGCTGGCGTGGGCTGGGTACCAGATCGAGACAAGCGTGGGCGAGGCGGGACGGAGGGAGGCGATCGTACGGAGCAGGAGGGCCGGAGCATCCGAGGATGACATGAAGAACAGGGAGCAGGCAGCCCCCTTGCACCATCTTCCCCGTGCCCTTGGTATCGCTCGGACGTGTGCACTTTTTCTCGGTGGGGATCATGAAGGAGCATCCTGGATCATCCTGCGAAAAAGCCACGCACGGTACCGAAAAAAGCGCAGGGAATGAACGTCCGAGCGATGGCCAGCAATCTTCCCCGTGCCGCACCCCGCGCACCAAAGGCCCCTCTTACCCAGGGTCACTCTTGCGTGTAGCCGAAAGAGCAGCAGGCAGCACCCCTTGCACCGCCGTCCCCGTGCCGCATCCCCGTCGCCCTCCCCACCCCTTGGGCGCTCGGGAGCGGCCTCCGCCCACGTGCGGGCTCCGAGCTTCTGGGCACGGGGGGCGGCCTGCGACCTGCCCCCCTCGCCCTCGACCGCACGTGCAAGGGCCTGGGGGGTCCTGCCTGCGCCCGAGGCCGAGGAGGATGTGCTGGGCATGTTTTTCACCACCACCACCTCAAGTTAGAGGGCGAGGAGGAGGAGGAGGAGGAGGAGGAGGAGATAAAGGAGGAGGAGGAGGAGATAAAGGAGGAGGAGGAGGAGGAGGAGGAGGAGGAGGAAGACCCCCTCCCCCCCCAACTGATGGTGGCGGTGGTGGAAAACAGGCCCATCAGGATGTGGCCCAGGCTGGGGTCCAGTGTCCGGTCCCGTGCCTGTGTTCTGCTGCTGTTTCTCCGACGGTGGCAGCCCCTCCTTACCCCTCCTCCCTTCTCCCCCCCCCCGCCTCTCCGTCGAGGTGCCCGCCGCCTCTCCTTCCGTGTCTTGGCGCGGGGCCGTTGGCTGTCTGGCCCACGGCGCCCCTTGGCCCCACCAGCACACAAGAAAAAACGTTCCCAGCCAGCTTCCGAGCATTGAGCGCCCCCAAGCGCTCCCAAGACGCCCCCTCCCCCCCCGCGCTCCCAGGTACCACAGAGGCGCTCGCAAGCGCTCCCGGGGCGCTCCCACACTTTCCCGGAGGTTTCGAGCATCTTGGAGGTTTAGCCGAGCATCCTGGGGGGTTTGAGCGTGCGGTGCCTTGAGGGTTGTCCAGGGGGCGTCGTGCATTCTTGGGTTTCGTACGGGCCCGCGCTGGTAGTGAGGCCAGCACGAAAATCCCAGGATGGGCGATCGCTCGCACTAGCGTGGGCGGTGCGCTGTGCGGAGGTATACCCTGGGCGCCACAGGGGGCATTCTAGAAAGGCCTTCGCCTTCGAGGATCGTAGGATTTAGGACTCTCTTCCTCGGCGGAACCCTGCGGAAGGAAACATCGGTTTCCCAAGATATGTAAGGTTCTGATTGCTCAGGGCTTCGGGAACCCGCCATATCCATTGCTTGCTCAGGTCCCCGACGATCGATCCCCCTGCGGACCCCCCCCCGCCTCGCAGGGAGGATTCGGATGGAGGAGCAGGCGTGGTCATTTTGGCGCCTCCCGCGGGCGGCCGTCGAATTCTGGATGCCTTGGAGGACCCCCTGCTGGGCGACGAGGAGGATCCGCTCCCGAGGGCAAGACCACACCTGCGAGCGAGGAGGATATTCACACGGCGCCCAGACCCTACCAGCCGAAAAGGTAGGTGAGCGAACACAAATGGTGATTGAAAACGTGTTGCTGAACATGTGACCGAAATTGAATAATACCGAACCTGTGACCGAGCGACCAAACATGTATCCGAAATTGAACATGGTGTTGCCTTTGAGAGAAGGGTTCGGGTCACACCCTGGAGCGTTAGAGACAACTCCGGCGCCGGTTCCGGTCTTGCTCGGGCAGATTTTCGGGCACAGTCTCGGTCACGCCTCCCCCTTTGAAAGAAACACACAGACACAATGAATCGTCGGCTCGCAGGAAAATATAGGAAAGTATGGTAAGTGGGGGGGAAGACGAAAACCCAGAACATATTTGAAAATATAGGGAATCCTGGGATGAGTGTGTATTTATTGCGAAGGCCTTACGGCCGGTGCCGCCGACCCTGAAGACGACGAAGATGAAAACGAGCGTGGGGGGGTAGGAGGCGCAGTAGGAGGAGGAGGAGGAGGAGGAGGAGGAGGAGGAGGAGGAGGGAGGAGGGGGGGTAAGAGGAAGGGGAGGAGGCGGATGAGGGAGGAGGATGGGGGGGGGGAGGATGAGGAGGAGGAGCAGGAGAAGGAGGAGGAGGAGGAGGAGGAGGAGGAGGAGGAGGAGGAGGGGGAGCAGGGGAGGTTGGGGAGGAGGAGGAGGAGGAGGAGGAGGAGGAGGAGGAGCAGGGGAGGTTGGGGAGGAGGAGGAGGAGGAGGAGGAGGAGGAGGAGGGAGGAGGAGGAGGAGGAGGAGGCCTCTCCGGGCCTTCTTGCGAGTCCTTTTGGCACTCTTTTGACCCGTCTGGGGGCCCCGTTTGGCCGTCCTTAAGGGTTCTTGGGCTGTCTTGTGGGGCTGGGGCCGTCTAGGGGCGCTCTTGCGGATCCGTCGTGGCGACCCCCCTCCTCCAGCGCATCTACAGAGGGCCCCTCTTGTAAAAGCCGCAAACGGGGGATGCGTATCTGGGTGGCGACCCCCCCCCGGGACCCCCCCCCTGGCGGGGAAGGGATCAAAGGGAAGGGGCTTCCCTTCGACGCATTTACGGCGTTGCTCATTTTCGTTTTGGTTGGCGCGCTCGAGGAGGAGGGGGAGGGCCCAGGGAAGGGCGGGTAGCGCCGCACGCCGACAGGGCCGTCTGATTTGTGTGTCCCTGGGCCCCATTCACACTTGTAGAGACGAGGCCGTGTGAGGACATGCTCCCCCGCGCGGGGGCGCGGTCGGCCCCGAGGTGTTCAAGGCGCAGGCGGACGCAGACCGGGCGAAGAAGTTCCTGGACAAGCAGCTCGCCGCCAAGACGGCGGCCGAGAGGAAGGTGGCGGAGGCCGCCGTCGAGCCCGCGCGCCCAGACCTCTGGGCGGACTGCTTCCTGAGCATATTGCTCGGAGATGGATAGGCCTCCTACCCTGACACGTCGATTAGCGAGTTGGCCGTTTTCGGTTCGCGAGAGGGCGTCGCGGCCGTCATCTTGGCGGGTCCAGGTCCGTCGGTTTCGGTCCCAGGCCGAGCACGAGACCCAGGGGCCCGGGCCTCGAGCGCGCATGGGAGGACCAGGGCTTCCGAGACCGCTCCAAGAGCACCCTGGAGGGGCCGTGCAGCCCCCAGATTGCCCCGGAGAGCTCCAAGACGCTCCCAGAAGCCCCCGCGGGCATTCGACAAGCCTCTCCAAGACAGCCCAGATAGTCCCAACGTGGACCTAGATGGGCTCCAGACCGCAAATGCACAGCCCAAGAGGCTTCCAAGAGGCCTCAAGAGAGCTCCGATAGGCGTCCCGAGAGAGTCCGAAGAGGCCCACATCCTTGATTTCCATTTGACTTCTTCTTATTATTATTATTATTATTATTATTATTATTATTATTATTATTATTATTATTATTATTATTATTATTATTATTCTTATTATTATTATTATTACTATTACTATTATTATTATTATTATTATTATTATTTTATGTTTTTCGGGTTCTCGCGTTTTCGACCTTCCAACGCTCCAAGACGGCCGACGACGCCCCCCAAACCGCCCCAAGACCGCCGAAGAGGCCCCCAACAGAGCCCCAAGACGGCCCCAGGGAGCTCGAAAATTGCCCAGGAGGAGCCTCAGACGGCCCAAGAGAGCTCCAGGACAGGCACAAGACACCCCCAAAACCGCCCCAAGACCGCCGAAGAGGCCCCCAACAGAGACCCAAGACTGCCCCAGGGAGCCCGAAAATTACCTAGGGGGAGCCTCAGACGGCCCAAGAGAGCCCCAGGACAGGCACAAGATGGGCCCCAGAGCGGGAGCGGGAGGCCCCGAGGCGCTCCAGGACGGCCCAGATGATCCCGACGTGGCCAAAGACGGGCTCAAGACGGCAAACACACATCCCAACAGGCCTCCATGAGGGCCCAAGAGAGCTCCGAGAGGCGTCCTGAGAGAGCCCACAGAGCCCAAATCATTGCTACATAGGTTTGTTCGATGTTTTTCGGGTTCTCGCGTGTTCGACCTTCCGACGCTCCAAGACGGCCGGCGACGCCCCCCTAACCGCCCCAAGACCGCCGAAGAGGCACCCAACAGAGCCCCAAGACGGCCCCAGGAAGCCCGAAAATTACCCAGGAGGAGCTCCAGACGGTTCAAGAGATCCCCAGGACAAGCCCAAGCTGGGCCAGAGATCGGGAGCGGGATGCCCCAAGGCGCTCGAAAACGGCCCAGCTGGCCCGGGCCTCCCTCCTCCGTCCATCCTTCTATCCGCCCCCTCCCTTTGCGTCGATTCCCTCCTCGTTCCTCTTCCTCCCCTCACCCCTCAACTTTCGTGCTCCTCCCTCCTCTCATGGGACGGCCCCGCCAGAGCGCCAGACAGGCCCCGCCAGAGCGAGCGGGACATCGCTACACCCTATCATTTCACAAGTTGCGTTGCCATTCTCACCCCTCAAGGGCGGCCCCGGCAGAGCGAGAGGGGTGTTGGCATCCCTTGTACAGTCCCTGTTCTGTCTTGCTCCTCCCACCGCACCCGAGGTAGCCCCGTCAGAGCGCACCGGGTGTGGGTATACCATAATTTTCCTCCGGTTTCGTGCTTCTCCCTCCCCTCCTGGGCAAGCCCCGCCAGCGCTCCAAGGACCCCCCCGCCAGAGAGATCGGGGCATCTCCACACCATTTTATTCAATCGTTTCGCTCACTCCGCCGGCCCACGTTGCATGATCGCTACTGCTTCGCAGTGGGCCCGGGGCCATTGCGGCGCCGCCGAGGAGGAGGAATATGAGGATGGGGAAGGGAAGGGGAGGAGGAGGAGAGGAGGATAAGGAGAGGAGTAGGATGAAGATAAGTAGGAGGAGGAGGGGGAGGAGGAGCAGGAGGAGGAAGGGGAAGGGGCGGAGGAGGAAGCCTCTCGTTGGCATCTTGTGTTGCTCTTGGGGTTGGGAGGCATGCTCGGGGTCTTTTGAAAAACCGTTCGGGGGCTCCTGGGAAGCATTTTTGAACTTCTGGGGCCTCTTGGGGCCTCTTTTGGGCCGGGGGTGTGCCCGGGTACTTTTTGTCCGGGGGCCCCCAGTGGCGGCCCCGCGCGCGCGACTTAGAAATTGTGAACCAGTTGCCGGAGATCTTAGCACGCCTTTGGCCCGTTGGGCCGGCGAATTTTACGCGATTTTTGTTCCTCCCACCCTTGCAGGGCGGACCCGCCCGAGCGAGCGGGGTGTGGCCATACTCTACAATTTCTCAAGTATCATGCCCCTTCTCTCCTCCTGAAAGGCTTCGCCAGAGCGCCAAGAAGGTACCTCCAGAGGCCCCGTCAGAGTTCCAGGCAGCCCCATACATGGGAGTTGCCAGGCAAATAATTGAGCAGCCCCCGTGAGCCCGAACCTTCTGCTCCCACGGGTGCGATTATCGCCGGCATGCACATCCCCCGTGAGCCCGAACCGTTTGCTCTATCTTCGGCATGAGGTTTGGCGTCTACGCAAAGAAGCTTCCCCACTCCCGTGGACGGATTCGACAACAATTGATTGTAGAGAAGAGCGCTGATGACCCGGACATTTGCGCGCTTTTTGCAGATCTGAACGACCGCTGAAAACGAGATGCCTGAAGCACAAGGAGGAGGTAACAACAAACAACGCGCTCCCACGCGAACGCAACGAGGCCCCGTGCCAACCCCAATATCAGTAGCCGGCGGATGTCTGCGTGATCGGGCATGGGGAGACCGAACACATGTGCAAAATCATTGGGTGTCTGACGGGGGCAGAGCGGAAGTGAATGTGGAGAGAAATAGCGCCGTTCGGTAAACCAAACAAAAGCGGTAGCGACATTGTGAGATACGCGGGAATATGCCGCCCCGCGTTCCGAGTAAGCGTTTTTTTGGTTTCGATGGCATGGGCCCGATAACGCAAGAAATCGTCGGTTGTGGTCACAGCGGGGCTTACAGCGGCACCCATGGTTCATCTGCTACTAGAACCTAAACGCGCGCGTAGCGCGCGTGGTTCTAGTATAATGTATACACAGACCTGTAACATTTGAGGGGTAGTTTCGCTTCGCGTCAAGCTTGAGTCCTACGTCCAGATGCAGCTAGGGGGTTGCCGCAGGTCTCATCGGTGCAGCAAGGTCATGACCAGCAGAAGGGGTACAGCCCATATCAAAGTTCAGGCCATGGGGGGAGGACTTGGTTGCCATGGGGGCGATGGTGGGGGCATCGTTGCCAAGGTAAGCCGTTGCCCTGCCCTGGGCTACGTCTCTGACGTCGATGGGGTGGACATCGTGACCGCGAGCAGGGCGCATGTCGTGGAAGCGGAGTCTGGGTAGTGGCAGCGAACCCGATGACTCGGAGCACACCGATGAGGTGATCGCGAAGGGGTTGAAGGTCATGAGGCGACAGGGGCTCCAGTCGTGACCGTCCTGCAGGTTCCGGGCATGGCTGCGGTACGGGGTTGACATTGTGACCGGTAGGGTGCTGTCTGCAATGCGGGGAAAGGAGGGGGGTCATGGACGTGATCTTTAGGGGGCGAAGGACATCTGGGGGGTCCCACGCATGCTCCGCTAGGAGGGCGAACCCCATGACTGCGAGGGGTGTCGAGGTCACGTCGGTTTATCGGTGCGCAGGTTTTCGCTGAAGCGTGTAACCATGATGCCGTTTTTGGTGAGGATGGTGGAGGGTTCTATGCGTACGCCGTTGGGAGGGCGAGCCCCATGACCGCGAGAGGGGTCGAGGTCACGTCGCTTTACCTGTGCGAACAGGTCAACGGAGTTCGGTTTACGCATATGCGGAACATGTGCGCGCCCTAAACGGTTTGCCCGCGTCGAGTCTCGGGCCCCCGTCCGTTCGACGTCCCCCCCGCGATTTGTTTTGCATCCAACTATGGAGCTCCCGGGATCGGCTTGCCATCCGAAGTCGTTGTTAGACGCCCTTGGGATCGAAGGCGGCTTTCGGGCGCTCAAAATCTTGAGGGGCAGTCGCCGGGGTGACGGTCGCCGCCGTGGGGCGGTGGGCAGCAAGAAAACCAGTCCGATATCAGCGAGGTGGATCGTCGTCGCTGTTCTGGAAGGCCATTCTCGCAGATGGAGGCGGCGGCCGTTGGGGAAGAGCGGGGGTCGCTATAAAGGGGTGCCGGTGATGGCCACCAAAAAAGTGAAGGGCATCGCATGGAGAAAGGATGACGAGAGAGATCGTCAGGGGGCAACGGGGAGCGGGGGGGTACACGGGCACGTTTTGAATCATCTTTCTGGCGGTTACGCCATCGGTACGCGCAGGAAGAATAGTTATGGGTGCTTGTCAGATGCCACGGGCGCCCAACAACGAAGGCCCCCAGAGAGGCCTGGGATTTTGCCGGCAGCTAGACGCAATCGCTGTTTCTCTGTCTTTCATGAGGTTCGTGGGGTTGGTTTGCGCTGGCGTGCGTAGCAGGTTCGCCGACGCCTCGGGGTCTCAGGCGTGTGTGTGGGGGGGGGGATTTGGCTTTCACGGTGCCGTAGACATGAGTTGCTTCGGGGATGAAGCGGCGGCCGCCACGTGAAGCGGGGGCACGGGCATGACCGCGCGGGGGGTCAGCGTCTTGCCGCCAGGGCCGTCGTGCCGCCATGGCGGCGAACCCCTGACTTGGATCGCGAGTTCGGGGCGTCTAAGGTGCCCGCCGTGGCTTCGCGGCGTGTTTCAGCAGGGCTTCTGGACGCCTTGCGTACATTGTGAATCGGGGGCCTTTGGGTTTTTTTTGTGTAGCGGGGGATGCGGTCTAGGACGTATGGGCGAGACCTCCCATTCGTTTCGGGGGGCCTCGTGGGAAGTTTCTTGGGGTTGTGGAAGCATTTTAGGAGTCTTTGGGGGTCTGCTGGGCGTTTTGGGGTGTCCCTTCTGCGCTCAGCTCGGTCGGCTGAGGGCTCTCTTGGGACTTTGGGAGTTTGGGCTGTCTTTGGGATCTCTTGGGGCCAGCCATGCAAGGGACCTCCTGCGGCCCTTTTTGGGGACACTTTGGGGCCCTCTGGGGCCGGTCTTGGGCCGCGTTGGGGCCTCTTGGGTTGTATTGGGGCAATCTTCGGGGCCTCTTGGTTTGGGTCGTCTTGGACGCTGTGGGAACCGACTGAGCGAATGTGCTCGTCCACGCGCAGGCGGGGGGATGGGGGAAGGGGGACGACTTCCTAGAAACACCCCTGCTTCTAAGAAGCCTTTCCCCTTTCCCTTATCCCATTGTGACGCCGCCAATCAGCTAAATATGTACGTCATCAGACGGGAGTTTGATGATTGTTGCCGCTTGTGTTTTTTTTGGTGCCGTTTGGGCCGCCTTGAGGGCGTTTGCTGCCGTCGAGAAACCGTCATGGGCCTTCTTGGAAAGCTTTGAGGCCATGTTGGAAGTATTTTTGGGCGCCTGTGGTGGGCATTTCCGGCTGTCCCGGAGCTCTCCCAACAGGCGCCCCGGGGCTGGGAAACGCTTGCCAAAAGGTGGCGACGGCCATCTGGGGGTATGTACATGCAGGATGTTCGATAACAAACGATGTGTGTTTCGTGTATGTATATGCGTGTGTGCATGTATGGAGTGTCATGTATTGTAAGGTAACGTAATGTACTGTAATGTAATGTAATGTAATGCAATATCATGTAATGCGCTGTGCTGTAATGGAATGTAATGTAATGTGATGTAATGTAATCTAATGTAATGTAATGTATTGAAATGTAATGTAATGTAATGTTACGTGATGTGATGTAATGCATGCATGTATTTATGTATGTGTACATGTACGTATGTATGTACATATGTATGCATGCATATACGCATACATATATATATATATATATATATATATATACATATATATATATATATATATAAATATGAGCTGTTTAGTGGGTGGACATTATACCGCAAGGTCGCCATTTTTGATTCAGTCCCGGCGTTGTCCCAGGGTCTCGGCGCGCAGGTGCTGTCTTCGCGGCCGTTCAGGGCCAGCGAACTCGCACCCCTTGGGCCGGAAACAGTCGATCCAGGGCGAAGGGCTGCCCCCGAAGGACTTGGGACCCAGGGGCTGGAACACTGACCCTGTCCAGCAGGGCTCGAAGTAAACGGTGTTTTGGCGATCTCGTGGACCGTTTTCGTTTTGATTTCGTTTCGCAGCAGAGGCACAATGAAGACGGAACCAAGGACAACGCACACAAAATGGAAAGGAAATTCACTGTTTAGCTGGAGCCCTGCTGTCTAGGCCTCCCAGATGGGGTTCGAGTAGTCTGGGTCGGGGGGCAGCGCCGCGTCGCCGATGCATCGGCGATGCGGCTCGATGTGGAGTCCGACTTTCCTCACGCTCGCGTCGCCGATGCGCCGATGCACCGCCGACGTCCCCGAGGCATCGGCGATGCATCGGCGATGTGTTGGCGATGCGGCGCGATCCTCCGACCCCATCTGCTCGGACCCTGTCTGGGAGGCCTCCTGTCTGGGAGACCCTTTTTCAGAGCGAGGGAAAGACACACACCTTTCTACGTCGCCGCGCGGGTGACGGCATCGCGAATTGTCCAGCAGCAGTAGCGGGAAAATTGGTCGAGGGAAAGCGGCGGCGGGCAGGAGGGAGGAAGAACGCTCACCCGGCGGGGCCCGCTGCGGAGTGGCCCGGGCGGCCAGTTAGTGCACAGAGAAGGCCACACACGTAAATACATGAACCCGAACCCACGCTGGTTTCGCAAATGCGCATTGCGCGAGCGCTCGTAAAACGAGGCTGGTCTGGCGGACTGGGGGACCGTACTCATGTATTCATGTACGTGGCCGGGCGCGTACGTTCTTTCTGTGGTCGGGGCTCAGGAGGCGGGGGGTCGATGCAAGCGGGGGCTGGTCAGAGCGCCAGATCTTGCAGGATCCTGCCGAGCCAGGGCCCCACTGACCCGGGCCTGGTCGCAGAAGCCTGCAGGATCCTGCAGGACTTTGCAGGGTCTTGCCAAGCCCGACTAACTACCTTGGGTTTGGACTGACCCCGGTCAGCACAGCCAGCCCGCACAGCGGCAGGGATGAGCATTCTTTTCCTTCGGCCCATCCCCGGGCCCCTCTCGCCGGCCGCGCCCCGCTCGCAGAGTGCCGCCGTGGCCTTCCGAGGCATTCTCTGCGCCCTCACCGCGCATCCTTCGCACACGGGCTGACTGCAGGTCCCCGAGGTGGGCTCCCTGGTCCCGGCTCCTGCCCAGTGCCGGGGCCCGACCCTCGCTCGGGGGCGGCAAAGAGGGGGGTGATGACTAGGGGGGGGGGGGGATGTCATGGCGGTGGCCATGATATTTCCCCAGATTTCATGGCGCCTCTTCTTATTTCATCACGTCCCTGGCTCCCCCCCTGGGCCGCGCACATGCCGCCAGCCATGATTTGCACCCCCCCCCTCTTGGACGCCCCCCTCTTGGCCGCCCCCGACTCGTGCGAGGGCCCGCCTCCTCGCTCTTCGGGGGCGTGCGGAGGCCCCGGGGCCCGCCCGCAGAGGCGCGCGGGTGGTGGCATCCCGCTTCGCGCGTCGCGGCCCAGGCCGCGGAGCGGTGCCCTCCCGCCGAGGGGCTGGGCGCCGGGGAGCGCGAGGGCCAGGGGTCTCGACACTCAGAGGCCACGACAGGGGCGAATAGCCTAGAGGAGAGCAACACACGTATTCAGGTGCGCCGATGATCTATGTCTTCGAAAAGGCTCCCGGGCGACTGCGTGTAATGCCCGACCCTGGGCTGTTCGCCCCTATCGCCGCCGAGACACGGGAGGGATGGGTTCAGAGGGCGAGGTTCGAGCTTCGAGGTCCTCGGGAGTTTTCGCTGGTGCTCGGCGGTCTTCCAGCCTCGGGGTGCTCTCCAGCAGCCGCGCCTCGCCGAGTGGGTGCCGGAGGTTCCCGGGTGCCAGAGAGCTGAGTCATGACACGAAAGCTGGACGACGACCGTTGGTAGGATGGGCTCAGGGAGAGATGCATCGCCCCCCAATCGCCAATTGAACGCCGATTGGGGCCCGACGTTCCACCCCGCTTAGAAGCGTGCAGTTTTGCGATCGAGGGCCTCTTGCCGATCCATCGGCGACGTATCAATGTCCCCTCCCCCCATCTTTCCCCCTCAGAGGGTGATCGCGTGTCGCGCGTCGCGTGGCGTGGCGTGCGAGGCTGGGTGGCGCAGCAGAGGCGGCCTCTCCAGAGCCTCCCGATGGGTCTGCCCTCTGGAGCTCCCGAGCGCTCACGAGCAGTTGCGCCCCTTCACTTCTGGGCACGGCGTGCTCCCACCTGGCCTTCTCAGTTCGGGGGCGGACAGAACCCCCAATAGTGACACGTCGATTAGTGAATTGTCCGTTTTCGGTTCTCCAGAGGGCGCCGCGTCCGTTATTTTCCAGGCTTGCGCCCGCCAGGTTTGGGTCTCAGGTCGTTTTCACTAAACCACGTGTTACTAAAGGGAGGTCTGTCCATCCCCGATCAGTGGCTGTGGCAGCCCTTCCGGCCAGAGCCGAGGTCGTGGAGCACATCGTGAATGATGCAAGGATCTACAGCAAGCTTAGGCTACAAGCCCTACAAGCCCGTGTCAGACAGAGTGCACGGTCTCATCGTCACAGCCCTGCTACGAGCTCTTCGGTCTTCCTCCCTTTGCCCTCATCGTCGTTGCCACTGTACTGAAGCCAAATATTCATTACGCATTGACCCTGCCGCTCGAGAAGGAGCGGTGCGTTCGGGCCTACTTGCTGTTCGCATTTTTCCTCGCGCTTATGGCAGCCGTCAATATTGGACGAGTGCCAGTGCTTCGGGATCATGTGTATCATGACGCCGTTCCTTGCGAGTGCGATGACGCTGCTCGGAGTTGCCGCAGGCAACCGCAACGCACGGTCGAACACGGAGCAGCGTTTGAGGCATCGGGGGCATGAGGAGGAGGAGGAGGTGGCATGCTAATGTCTTCGAGGGGGATCCTGTCCTCCTGCGAGCATGCTGCAAAGCCATGGGGCGCCAGTTTGCGACCATGGTCGAACCCTGCTCCTGCGGCCCAATCGACGCTGGGATATAGGACACCCACACCCCGCTGGGGTTCACTTGGCTGCTGGCGCCCTTCTAATTCTGAGCCCCATCCGGCTCAACAGAAACCTGACCTGCTGGGGTATGGCCCACGCGTGGCTGCCCAGAGGTCCAATTGAGCTTAGAAGGCTTGGACGCCGATGTGTGCGTCGAGCGGGGCGCCATCCTGTCTGTCGCCGGGCGGCGGCACACGGACCAGCCCGCCCGGCCTCGCGGCTCATCTTCCCCTGCGCACTGCTGCCAGGTGCCCCCTCGAAAATGGCCTCCCTGCCTCCCTCCTCTCTCCTCCCGCCTCCCTCCCTCCCCCAAGCGGTCTCTCCCTCCCCTCCATCTCCTCATCCTCTTCATCGGCTTCGTTGGCTCCTCCTCCTCCCCATCCTTGGTCTCCACCCTCCCTTCCTTAGGCTCCCCACTCTCGCCGCCCTCCTCGCTCCCGCAGCAGCCTCCCGCCCCTGGCGGCAGGCCGAGTCGAAGGCGAAGGCGGCCAAGGACAAGGCCGATATGGCCGAAAAGGCGAAGACTGATGCCGACAACGCGGTCTCCCTCTCCCGCCCGCCGCTCCCCTCGGGCCGCTGGCGTGGTTTGTTGTTGTTGTTGTTGTTGTTGTTGTTGTTGTTGTTGTTGTTGTTGTTGTTGTTGTTGTTGTGTTCGTTGTTGTTGTTGTTGTTGTTGTTGTTGTTGTTGTTGTTGTTGTTGTTGTTGTTGTTGTTGTTGTTGTTGTTGTTGTTGTTGAACGTTATTACTTTTAAAGAATAATTATTGTTGGGACCCCTGGTGCACGGCCCCCCCGCCGCGCCTAGGCCGCAGCCACATTTTCATCATTTTCGTGAGGAAGTTTCAGGTAAAACGATGTCATCCAGATTCGGTTGTGTTGTTACGATTGGTTTTCCCTTGCAACAAATAAGGTAAAGTGGACATTCGCGCGCGCAAGACGAAATCCTTCCAAAACCTTAGTTTTCGTAGCGTTTTTCCACATAAAAACATCAAACAACCAATGGTTTTTTAAAAAAACAATTGTCAAAATTTCATCCCGCGCGCTCTTGCGGATTCGTAGGAAACCCAACACTTTTTAAACATTTCTGTCAAACGGGCTTTTGCGAGCAACTTTTTCGAACTTCTGCAACAACGGTTGCGCACCTGCCAGGGCCATCATCCCTGTCAAATAATACCATGCGGGACACATTCGTTTTTTCTTCGCGCGCGCACGCCGTCGTCGTCGGCCGCGGGGCCCTGAATAGTAGCCACGGTCGTCCGCATGCCACGAAGTGAAGTGTCCGAACGTCATAGGGCGGGAAGCTGGGTGTGGGTGGTGGCGAAGAGTCGTTTGGAAATTTGGTAGAGCTTGAACCGGCCCCCCCACAAAGTGGGGGTATTGCCCGCCTCCTATGAAAACCCTGGCACTGGTGAGAACGGAGTGTCCCCACGTGCTAGTAATTGTTGTTGTTGTTGTTGTTGTTGTGGTGGTGGTGGTGGTGGTGGTGGTGTTGGTGTTGTTGTTGTTGTTGTGTTGTTGTTGAATATTATTACTTCTAAAGAATAATTATTGTTGGGCCCCCTGGTGCACGCCCCCCTCGCCGCGCCTAGGCCGCAGCCACATTTTCATCATTTTCGTGAGGAAGTCTCAGGCAAAACGGGGGAGTCCGGATCCGGTTGTTTTGTTGACGCCCGCTTTCCCTGTCAAAAAACAATATAAAATGACATGTCTTGTTCTAACATAACCAAACTTCAAGAATCCTTTGCAAAAAATGACACGAAGTGCACACTCGCGCGCGCAAGATGAAATCCTTTCAAAACCTTAGTTTTCGTAGCGATTTTAACATAAAAACATGAAACACCCAATGGTTTTTCAAAAAAAAAAGTTTCAAAAATTCATCCCGCGCGCTCTTGTGGATTTCTTAGGAAACCGAATATTTTTTCAACATTTCTGTCAAACGGGCTCTTGCGAGCAACTTTTTCACGTGCTTCGAACTTCTGCAACAACGGTTGCGCGCCTGCCAGGGCCATCATCCCTGTCAAATAATACCATATGGGACACATTCGTTTTTTCTTCGCGCGCGCACGCCGAAATCTTCAATTGCAGGGGGAAAAGTCGTATACTAAGCTAGCTTACAGAAAATGTTACCACAACAAGTCATTGTACCCATGCGCCAGTGTAGTAGCCAAGGTCGTCCGCAGGCCACGAAGTGAGGTGTCCGAACGTCATAGGGCGGGAAGCTGGGTGTGGGTGGTGGCGAAGAGTCGTTTGGAAATTTGGTAGAGCTTGAACCGGCCCCCCCACAAAGTGGGGGTATTGCCCGCCTCCTATGAAAACCCTGGCACTGGTGAGAACGGAGTGTCCCCACGTGCTAGTAATTGTTGTTGTTGAACTCTCATTCTTGAAGAATAATTATTGTTGATCCCCCCCCACCGGTGCACATTGATTTTTTTCGATTGAAGTGCCACCCCCGGGGCTCGCACTTGTTTTTTCTCAAGGAAAGTCTTCCTGCTCAAACTGTGCCCCTGCCCCCCGGGCTACAACAACAACGGCTCCCGCCTGAGACTTCCTCGATTTTTACTCAGGACCCCCGCTCCCGCCTGAGACTTCCGCGCAATTTACTCAGGAAAGGCGCTCCCATCTGAGACTTCCTCGCAATGTAATCAAGACCCCCGCTCCCGCCTGAGACTTCCGTGCAATTTACGTGGGAACGGCGCTCCCGCCTGAGACTTCTTCGAATTTTACTCAGGACCCCCGCTCCTGCTTGACATTTCCGCGCAATTGACTCAGGAACGGCGCTCCCGCCTGAGACTTCCTCGCAATTTAGTGAGGACCCCCGCTCCCGCCTGAGACTTCCGTGCAATTTGCTCAGGAACGGCGCTCCCGCTTGAGACTTCCTCGCAACTTAGTCAGGGCCCCCGCTTCCGCCCGAGATTTCCTCACAATGTACTCAGGACTGCACTCTCGCGTGCGACGTCCTCACAAATTATTCTGGAATTGCGTTTCGGCGCTCAGGAACCACGCGCGCGCCAAGGACGCCTTCACAACGTGGTATCTTCCCTCTTCCTTCGTCCTTCCCCCTCCCCTTCCTCCCACTCTCCCTCGTTCTTCCCCTCCTCCTCTTGCAGGGCCCGCGCCAATTCCAATGGCGGGCAGAGAGATGTACGCCCCCGAAGGATTGTCCGCCCGTTCCGGTTTGCCCGTACGTCTAAGCCCGCCGGCCCCAGCAAAGAGAAATAATCCCCCCGAAAGGGGTGTGATCGAAGACGAAGAGGGCGGGTATCGAGGGTGTAGGGTATACGTGTTGAATGACTCGCGGGCAAGTAAGAGCGTACAGCCTTAAAATGGTTGTTGTTGTTGTTGTTGTTGTTGTTGTTGTTGTTGTTGTTGTTGTTGTTGTTGTTGTTGAACTCTCATTTCTGAAGAATAATTATTGTTGATCCCCCCTCACTGGTGCATACTGTTTTTTTCTCAATCAAAGTGTGCCCCTCGACGCTCGCACCCTGTTTTCTGACAGGGAAAGTCTTCCTGCTCAAACTGGCCCCCTGGCCCCCGGGTTACAACAACAACGGCTCCCGCATGAGACTTCCTTACAATTTAGCCAGGACCCCCGCTCCCGCCCGAGACTTCCTCGCATTTTATTCAGGAGTCGCGCTCTCGCTTGGGACTTCCTTACAATTTATTCGGGAATCGCTCTCTCGGCGCTCTGGAGTCGCGCTCTCGCTGGAGACTTGCTTGCAACTCACTGAAGAATGGCCTTGCGTTGGAATTTCCTGCAATTTGCCCAAGCGCCGCGCTCCCGACACCCAGGCACCCAGGAGTCGCGCCCGTTGTGGCCCCATGTGCATGCCCTTCGTGGCCCCGCTGTCGCCATTTGTGTCCCCCTCACTGTCCTACGTGGCCCAGTTGCTACCCTCAGTGGCCCCATAGTTGCCTTCTGTGGCCCCGCATTATCTGCACTTCGTGGCCCTCGCTCGTTCGCGCTCTTCGTGGCCCCATACGCATTCCCTTCGTGTCCCCGCTGTCGCCCTTCGTGGCCTACTTCGTGCCCTTCGTGGCCCTGCTGTCGTTCTCTCTCGCTTTCGCTCGTCGTCGTCGACGTCGTCGTCATCGTCGTCGTCGTCGTGGTCGGTCCCCTGTCCGTCCCTCTTGGGGTCGGGTCGACGGTCCGCGGCCGCCTTGCCGATCAGCGCTGCCGCTGGCCAGGCCGACGGTCCGCGGCCGCCCCGCCGCTTGCCGGGGCCCGGCCTGCAGGGAAGAAAGGTATACCCCCCAAAAGGAGTTCTATCGAAGACGAAGAGGGCGGGTATCGAGGGTTTGGGAAATACCTGTTATTGGACATTCGAGCATATAAGGGCGAACAGTCTTAAAATTATTGTTGTTGTTGATGGTGCTTGTTGTTGTGCTTGTTGTTGTTGTTGTTGGTGCTTGTTGTTGTGGTTGTTGTTGTTGGTGGTGGTGGCGTTGCAGTTGCAGTTGTTGTGGTTGTGGTTGGTTTTCCAATGGAGCCATCCAGCCCATGAACGATGCCCGGGCGGGTTGTCGGAACCTCGTGGAGGCATCCTGGATTCATCGTGGGAGGAGGAAGAGGAGGAGGAGGTAGGACCTATGCAAGCCCAAGATTCACCAACGATGTTGCGATACACCCTCCCTTGATGTTCCCTCTTAGGCTCCGGTGACACCCTCACTGAGGATCGACCTTCACCTCGGGAAGCGCCCCGTTGAAATAACTATTTGAACGTCTCCAACCGTGCCACGGCACAAATTCTGGGACTTCACGCCGCGGATCGACGTTACTGTTGCGACCTGGCGATCCTAAATCGTGCTAGCACACCTTTCTGGGACTTCAACAGTCAACACTTCGAATCAACGTGACTGTCGCTCCCAGACAATCCCAATTCGTGCCAAGGTACCACCGCTTCGGGGACGTCAACCATCATAATCCGTGAAACTGCTGCAAACTGACAAGACGAGTGTGCGCGGCGCTATGGCGACAGCCACATGTTTAAAAGGAAACGCCCTCCTTATGTGAGAGTCTTGCAATCTTTTCCGACGAGTGTACACGGCACTAAGGCGAGAGCCACATTGTGAAGATGGCCAGCCTTCCATCTGTGAAGCTCTTGTGATTTTTTCCGACGAAGATGCGCGGTGCGGCGAGAACCACATTTTGTAAACGACCCGCCCTTCAGTCATGACACTGTTGCAAGACATTCAAGCTTCAGGATCATAAATGGCAAGGATGTCTCAAACGAAACGGCCGGGCCGCCCTATCGACCCGTGTCGGGGTGTAACAGGGAGGAGTTACTCGTGAGAAAGAGGGATGGAGGAGCGTCATGGGGCCCTCTTGGGGTGGGGCTCTTTTGGGAGGGTCCCGGGGCCCTCTTTGGGCTCTATGGGGGTGTCTGAGGGCCCTCTTGGTCCCTGTGTCTCAAAGGAGGGTGTCGGCCGCCTCCCCCCACCCCCTTGGAGGAGGAGGGGGAGGAGGAGGAGGAGGTGGAGTGGGACGAGGAAAGCAGAACGATGAGGAGGAGGAGGAGGAGGAGGAGGAGGAGGAGGAGGAGGAGGAGGAGGAGGAGGAGGAGGCCCTCATGGGGCCCTGGGTAGCGGTCGCCAGCTGCGCGCAGGCGCTCGGCCTCGCCGCTCCCCCCCTGCCCTCTCTCGCTCGCCCTGCCTCGCGCCCCTTCCCGCGGAGGGCGCCGACGGGTGTGCCTGCACCGGCCCCCTGGCCAGGCTGCTCCCGGATTCTGTCGGGGGCCCCCCACGCGGGGTGGTGACCACACCGTGCGGTGAGTCGTTGGGGATTCGGGGTCACCGCACGGTTTTGGGACTCGAGGCCCTCTCCGAGGACGTCTCGGGCGACAGGGGCCTCTGGGGTCCCAAGATCGTGCGGTGACGGACCGTGCGGTGAGGTCTTGGGGGATTTCGAGGTCACCGTACGGTCTGTCACCGCGCCGTTTCGGGACTCCAAATTCTGGATCGGTGTATGCGCCCTCCTGGCGTGGCCGGGAATGCATGCAGTAGGCACAGACGGCAAGACATCTTGCTGTCAGATATCTTGGGGCACAGTCTTCGGCGACCTCTTGCGGGTCCCCGCCCGGCCCTGTCCCTCGGAGGGCGCCGGCGGATGCACCTGCACCGATTCCTGGCCAGGCCGTTCCTCGATACTGCAGCGGTGGGGCACGTGTGTTTAAGGCATGACGCCAGAGATGTGGGCCGGAGGCAGCGAGGGCAGGCCGCTGCAGGAGCACGGCCCGAGGCGGTGCAGTCCTGGCCCCGCGGCTGCCGGCCAGCGCGGGCCCCGCCTGCGGGCGCGAGCGGGCCCGCCGCGCAGGTCAAGGAGATCGACGAGGCCGGCAAGAAGGCCGACGCGGACTCCAGCGGGAACGAGGCGCCCTCCGCCCGGCCGGGGCTCGCCAAGGCAGCCCCTCGGGGGCGCGTCGGGGAGGCTCGGGCCCGAGGATTCTCGGAGGGATCGCGCGCTGCAAGGGTCCAGGTGGGTCTGACATCTTTCTTTGGTGTATCTTGGGGCGCTCCTCGTCACCACGGCTGGATCCGCCTCGAAATGTCTGATCTGAGCGCGTGCCTGGAGAGATCCCAGGGCCGATTCGTGATGATCTGGGTCAGCGCTAACCGGATTTTGCCGGGGCCACGTCGCGAGTCTTGGGCGGGTCACCCAGCAGCTTCTCAAACCCAGGTCAGCGGCGGGATGGGAGAGGGGGATGGCCCTGAAACCCGTGTCAGCCCTGGGGGGTCGGCGGTGAGCGCTGAAGGGGGGGGGTGCAGCGCCGACGCACGAAGTCCTAGCGGACCTCCCCAAGTTCATGACTATGTGTGAGCTACTCGGTTCCCGTTCTTCCTGAGTTCGAGGACGCGGGGCTTGAGCTTGGTGGAGATGATGAGAGGGAAAAGTGGAGGTCTTGGCGTCATGGGGGAAGAGGAGACAGGAGACGCGCGCGCGTGCGTTGCTGCTTCTGCTGCTTCTCGCCCCCCTCCATTCACATACTGTGCCGAGTGGGTCCGGAGAGGGCCTGGACGAGGGGCCTTGGCATGCGGCATGGCCTTAGCCTTCGAAAACCCCTCGGAGCCGGGGCTTCCTGTGGCACTCGCAGGTCGTCGGCGGTCGTGCGGAGGCCTCTGGAGACGTCTAGAGACATGTGGGGTCCGAGAACTCTGGGGGGATTTCTGGAAGATTCGCGCCGGCTCGACGCAGCGACGATGCAAAAGGAGTAGGTTTTTGCTTTTGTTCCCAATCTTGTGGGGGTGTTCGTGGCCACGCCTGGGCTTGGCTTGACGATTCAGTCAGGGTGGTGTCCAGGAGGGGTCACGGTGTGCGTGTCAGTCCATGGCGCAGAATCCATGCGAAAGGTGGGGCTGGAAGTTTGCGCGGAGCCACGAGGGTGGAGATCGTTCACGGGTGAACGTTGCACGCGGTGTCAAGAACCACGGCCCACACCGTCAAGGCAGATACCTGCCGTATCCCGCTCCATTGTTGCGCCCCGCTTGTCCCTTTGGCCACGGTTCCTTACCAGAGCTCGCTTGGTTCTGGCTGCTTCTTGTGGCGGCCCTGGCGTGCCTGCGGCCTCGAGCTTACATGCCAGATTGACACTCGCGCCGCGGTGAAATGCGTGGGTTGCCCTCTCACCTCTTGGTCTCCTGGTGTAGTCCTTGCCATCAGGGCAGGAGACTGCGGAATCCGGCAGCACAAAACCTCTTCCAACAAGTAGGGCCGAGGCTTGTCCAGGTGGGGTGTGCCGCTCCTGCAGCCAAGGGACCTCGAATGCCCCTCCTGGCACAGAAAAGAGCAGCGATCATCGCAAGGGCACCATGCATCCTTCGGCGATGACCATCCTTCGCACTCTAGGCGCGCGCGCATGCGTGGCGTCTGCGCCGTTCCAGGGGGCCTGCGTCCCGACGCGCCATGCCGATCTCGCTGACTGTGACCCGTGCGCCGGCGGGCCCAGGCGCCCTGCTCTCCCCACCCACAGGTTCAGTGCGCACCCAGAGCTCGCGGGTGGGAGGCGCACCCTCGGTCGATGGAGGAAGAAGGGGGGGGGATATGGAGGGCGAGGAGGAGGAGGAGGAGGAGGAGAAGGAGGAGGAGGGGGCTCAACCTGCACTGCTCCAGGCCTCTTCGTCCCCAGCGCCCCGTCCTTAGGGGCCCCATCTCTGAACCCGCCGAGAGGATGTGGACCAGGAGGGAAGAAACACACAGACACAATCAATCGCCGACTCCCAGGAAAATATGCGAAAATATGGGAAGCGGGGGGGAAGACGAAAATCCAGAACATATCGGAAAATATGAGGATCCTGGGACTTGTGTGTATTTATTTGTGTGTGTGTGCGTGTGTGTCATTGAGCCCCTTCAGTGGACGTTCTCGTCGCTCGTGCCCAGTTCGGTGCGGACGTCGCCATCCGGCCAGGACGGGAGGCCCTCGGGCGCGCGCGCGCCAGAGGTGAAGGACGCGCAGGACAAGCTCGCCAAGGAGGGGCCGCCGCCTCGTGGGGAGTCCCCTGGTGGCCCCCCAAGCGCGCGTGTCTTCGGGGTTTCGAGGATCGACCGGAGGTCGATAGCCCTCCTACCCTGACACGTCGATTGGTGAATAGGCCGTTTTCGGTTCGCGAGAGAGCGTCGCGGCCGTCATTTTTTTGCGGGTCCAGGTCCGTCGGTTTCGGTCCCAGGCTGTTTTCACTAAAGCGTGGTTTATTAAAGGGTGGTTACTTAAGGTTACGAAAGGAGGCTCCCAAGCGGACCACAGGAGGAAGGGGAGGAGGAGGAGGAGGAGGAGGGAGGAGGAGGAGGAGGAGGAGGAGGAGGAGGAGGAGGAGGAGGAGGAGGAGGATGGAGGAGGAGGAGGAGGAGCAGGAGGAGGAGGAGGAGGTGGAGGATGGAGGAGGAGGAGGAGGGGGAGGAGGAGGATGGGGAGGAGGAGGAGGATCGAGGAGCGAAGCCATTCAGCGTGGCTTGCGCGTCTCGGTCCCCGCGGGGACCTCTGGGAGCCCTCACGGGGACCTCCGCAGACCTCCATGGGGCCTCCGCGGGCGCCTGACGGAGGCAGGATCGGTGGTCGAGGTCTGTGGACGCCCACGTCGCCACGGCCAGATTGCCCTGGAGAGTCATGCCAACATGCCACCCGCGGAAGGGTCCACAGGGTGATGTTTGAGCGGGAGGCGTACCTCCAAACTTGTTTCTCCCAATTCAAGAACGGGAGTCTTCTTGCCACCTTCGGCTTCCCGGGGCTGTTTCTGTGCAGCAAAAACGGCGGGGGGGGAGATACCAGCACCAGCGAAAGATCCAGGGATTCTTGTGTGGCCCGCGTATTCAATGCTACGTCGTCGGACGGACGCGGTCCATGTCGCCAACGACGACGCGGACAAGGCCGAGGCCGACGACGGCCATGACGACGACGATCGTAACCACCACCCCGGCGCACCCCTTGCACGCGCCAGTGATCCCCCTCAACGGGGGTGAGCCTGGGGGTCGTTCTCCAGGGTGAAGAGTCGGCGCTCGCGCCTCCGCGCCGGCCACACTCCTAGCTCAGAAGATCCACTCGCGCTGGCCACGCTTCCGGTGGGGAGCAAGTGCCCCCTCCACGGCGTCCGCCACGTTCCTGGACCTCCGACGTCATATTCTTTCAGTGCAGGCCCTTCCCTTCCAGCTAGGCCTTCGCAGGCCCGTGTTGGGCACGCCGGAGACTCCAGGTGACAAAAGCCGACCACGGGAAAGGGGCCGGGCGTCGAAGACATCACGTCATCGAAGGTCCCAGCTCCGGTCTCACTGCAGGAGCTCTCGCCTCGGCGTCGGGCGCACTGCCGGCCCAGAGGAGCCCCGCCTCGGTCCAGGCCCAGGGTTGTGCTGTCGCCTCGGTGGCGGCCACATCTCCTGGCCAAGAGGTGGCGCTCCCGCCTTCCCACCAGCAGCGTCCACGGCCCAGCCTCGGTCGCATCGGCGGTGACCGCAGAAGCAGCAGCGACGATATGGCCCCGAGAAGACGTCGCAGGCCCGACAGGGGCCAAAATCATTAAATTTCCAATGGTTTTTGAAGGAGTTTTGATTTTGCTCCTTTTCAGCTCTGTGCAGTAGCTGTCACAGCAGTCGTCGCGGCGACTCAGGAGCAGAAAGCAGTTGCCGCAGTCTGAGCTGAAGCGGCGGCTCCAGGAAAAACGTAATTCGCAGCAGTAGCATAGGTCGCGCCACTGTTAGCAGCAGCAGCAGCAGCAGCAGCAGCAGCAGCAGCAGCAGCAGCAGCAGCAGCAGTAGCAGCAGCAGCAGTACCATCCCTGGCAGCTGTGACATCAACAGCAGCAGCAGCAGCAGCAGCAGCAGCAGCAGCAGCAGCAGCAGCAGCAGCAGCAGTGGCGAATGCTTCCTGCAGGCGGGCCGACACTGGCTGATTGTGACCAGCGCGCCAGGGCGTGCCAGACTGCACGTGGCCTCGAGATCCGACGCGCACGCCGGCGCGCATGCCATCGAGCATGCCGACTGCGTCCACCTCGCCCTCGGGCCGAGGGCGACACCCTGCTCCTGCGCGGCCGTGGCTCTGCCAGGCTCCGCCTGCCCTCGCCGCGCTCTCGGCCGTTGCCCACGGCTTCCCCCCCCCGTCTTCCCCTGCCGGCGGTCAGGAGATCGACGACTTCAAGGAGTGCGAGGAGAGGCTCGCCAAGGCCAAGGAGCACCTGAAGAAGGTCATGGCGGAGAAGGAGCCCCCACGGGCGAGCGGGCGAGCGCTCCACGCCCAGGTGGCCGCTGCCCAGGAGGGCTCCACGGGCTCGTGCTCCTCCTCCTCCTCCTCCTTCTCGTCCTCCTCCTCCTCCTCCTCCTCCTCCTCCTGCTCTTCCCTCTGGGGGCTCCACCTGCGGCCAGCGCCGACCCGCCGAGGTGCGCGGCGGGCCAGACCCCGGCGCGCTCCGGGAGCGTCGCAGGCCGGACGCTCTGAGAGGCAGACCTTCTGCGGCTGTCAACGGGCCGACCTTTCTTTTCATCCAGTCACGCGCAGAGGGGTGCGGGGGGAGGGGGGAGGGCTTCTTAGAAGCACCCCTGCTTCTTGGGAGGCGCGGGCATTCTCTATAGATGTGACGCCGGCGCCTTCTGAGCAGCAGCCTCCAAGGAGGCCATCTCCCCCCTCCCTCCACTCAAGCAGTGGCGAGTGGCGAAGCGTCCTCGCTCGCCTATAGGCCTACCAAACGATGTCCTAAGAACCTTCTGTGGTCTGCGCTGAATTTTCTCAGAACATTTCTGGCTCGGGCTGTCTTGTTTTTCACCTCGGGCTCATGGTCCAAGAACATGTTTTGGTTCTTGGAACATTTTCGGCAACTCCACCTCCTCCTCCTCCTCCTCCTCCGCCCCTCCTCCTCCGCCCCTCCTCCTCCCTCCTCCTCCTCCTCCTGCACCCCCGCGTCTCAGGAGGCGCGGGCCTTATCTATAGATGTCAGGCCGGCGCCTTCTGAGAGGCAGCCTCCTCAGAGGCCCTTCCCCCCTCCCTCAATGCGCCGCCAGTTCCTGCCGTCGCCCCTTTTGGAGCACCTCCCTGACGGGGCCAGGCAGTCTGGCCGAACTGGGGCCGCTCTCTCCTCTGCGGGGGCGATGCCGCGCGGGCGGGGTCGAGCGGGTCTTGCTCCCCGGTGCCCCGATCCTGTGCCCGGTCCTCTGGATTCAAGAGGGGACACAAACACACAGACACAATGACTCGTCGATTCCCTGGATCACATGCGACAAAAGGGGAAGCGGGGGGGAAGGCGAAAATCCAGAAAAGATGGGAGGATATGGGGAAATCCTGATATTGGTGTCTATTTAGTTGTGTGTCCTGGGGCCCCTTCATGGATGCTCTCCCGTCCCTCTGCGCCCTGGTGGCCCCGAGTTGGGTCGGGCCTCTTCTTCTCATGACTGCTCCCAGCGGTGCCCTGACCACCGCGCGCGCGCGCCGGACAGCACGCTTGCACCACCCCTCCCACCCCGTCCCTCTCCTCCTCTCCAATCCCCCCCCTGCCACCCCTTCCATCCCTGCATCCCTTCCGCCGTCTCTCCCTCCCCAATTTCCCTCCCCTTACACCGGTACTCTCCCCCGCCCTCTCAGATCAGATGTCTGCCCATCCATTTGTGGTTTCCACGAGGGGTGTTCCCCCTTCCAGCTTCGTTTGACGTGGGCGCGAC